AAATAAAGAGGAATGATTATTTTTGGTGTTAGTCAAGATATCAGTATAAGTTGTACTCACCAATGTATTTTATTCCCTTTTTTTCTAAGATATTTACCATTCAACTCTAGTAGGAGTTTTCTCATTGGATACACCAACCCTTGTTTTGTTTAGTAGTGAAGACAGCCGAGGCAGGTTATGTCACAAATTTGGTTGTGCATCTAGGTGGAAATGATGTTACCTACTCTTGGAAGTTTTGAAATTATCTTGTCGATCTGAATTCTATACAGTGACTTTTCCTCGAAATGGAAAAGGAAAATTATTTTTCATTTTTGTTTTGTTTTGATGTCAAAGAGATGGATGACAAGGTCAGATATTATGCATTGTCAATGATGTCAAATGTCGTTGTACGGTGTTATTAACCTAAAAAAAGGCCTAACCTTGACATCCAAAGTAAAAGTTTCATTCCAACACCAAATTGCTCTACATAGTCCCCTTATTCTATGGTGAAAAGTTACACCATTTTGAGCGTCGGGTTTGGGGGTGAGAGGGGGGAGGAATTTGAAAAATCACTAGTTTTTTCAGTTTTTCGTGAATATTTCAAAAACTAAGCGGTTTATCCTAAACATTGTTATATACAAAAATGTTCTACGTTAAATTTTGAATAAGAATGGTCTTCTTCATAATCACTCTAAATTGTACGGTTCAAGAGTTACAGACGGTGTAAATGTTAACTTTTTCGTAATTTCGATAATTTTTTTGAAAAATAAGCTTCGTAAAAGAATGTTGCTATTTCAGTGGCCGGTGGTATCTTAGTGATAAGCCCTTGAAGGAACGACAACCTCACCACCTTATCAAGGGGCACTCTTTTTTAAGGGAAAAGAGGCTTCCACAGGCCTAGGCCATATAAACCTGTGGTACGGAGAAACCCACCCTGAACTTTCTACGAACATTGCAACATAAATTCACTTCTTAAGCATAAATATCTTTCAAATTTGGAATGTTCAATGTCTTCATTAACCTCACTCATCCTCCAGCACATTATCCTCCTCCTCTAGCTCGTCGTCTAAGATGTTATTATTGTCCATGTTATCACATGCTTGGCCTGAGCAATGGGGAAGACCACTGAGGGAAGAAATCCGTGCAAACCTCTTTCAATCGACGAATCATGATTTATATTTTATGTACAATCAATATTATGAGTTGAAGTTGAAAGGAATCGAATCTATATCGTTTTGAAATCAGCATATTTCATTCGATATTTCAAACAGCCAAATATGATGGTGGAGTCGTGACGTATTAGTCCCGAACTATAGCTATCTCTCTGTGATACCTCGTCATTCTGCAGTGTTGCAGTGTAATTGGTCAGTTCAAGGACAATAGGCGTGTTGGGACTGAGACGTCGCACCAGTCACACCAATGAATTGATGAAATTTCAAATGGCGCAGGAATTGTGTGTTTTGAAATGGACATATACTAATTTATTTTTTTCATCGTCTTAGCATGAATGAAAAAATTCAAAATTAATTCACTGGTAGTTTTTCAGTATAGAGTTCACGATAATGTCGTTTTAAAAAATCAGTGGTCTTCCCCATTGCTGCATATGCTAGTGCAGTTTAGACCACTCCTTCTGCATTCACAATTACGAATTCATTCATCTTTGCAAGTACACATTATAAGGGACAGTAATTCCTGGGGGGCTGCAGGACGTGCTGTTGTAATTGGTGTCAGGTGGTCGCCAATCTTCTTCCAACCCCACTCGAGTGGATCCTTATCTTCATTCAGCCACTGTTGTACCTGGTGGTAGGTCCTAAATGAATGCTGTCTGGACGCTCCTGAAGTGGGGGGTAGTGCATCCAACTTCAGTAATGCATGTATAGGCTGCTTTGCAATCGCTTTCAAGTAGGACTGAGAGACAATCTAGATCTTCAGTGTTCTTGGCTACAAACATTGCAAGTAGGAAGTAATTTCCTGCATCAGCCACTGCACTGGGGTCGGCTTTGGGGTTGTTGAAGACCAGAAGTTTTTCACGAAGAACGTTGTTGGCTTGAACTTTCCTATAAGGTGCAATTTTTCCCTTCTAATAGACAGCAGACACAGGGTCACATCCTGTGAAGGCGTATATAAACAGAAGTACATCTTTCATGTCCCCAATGCCTTGCTGAATGTCAGAAATAATGTACACTTCTTCCTGGTGATTTCCTTTTTCAGGTACGACCATTTTCAGTTTATTCCCTGAAGGTGCGTGGACAGTCGACAGTACTAATGAGTCCGTGTCATCACCAATAACACACGTTTGCGATTGCAAAGCAGCCTATATATGCATTACTGAAGTTGGATGCACTACCCCCCACTTCAGGAGCGTCCAGACAGCATTCATTTAGGACCTACCACCAGGTACAACAGTGGCTGAATGAAGATAAGGATCCACTCGAGTGGGGTTGGAAGAAGATTGGCGACCACCTGACACCAATTACAACAGCACGTCCTGCAGCCCCCCAGGAATTACTGTCCCTTATAATGTGTACTTGCAAAGATGAATGCGTTCGTAATTGTGAATGCAGAAGGAGTGGTCTAAACTGCACTAGCATATGCAGCAATTGCTCAGGCCAAGCATGTGATAACATGGACAATAATAACATCTTAGACGACGAGCTAGAGAAGGAGGATAATGTGCTGGAGGATGAGTGAATTCAATGAAGACATTGAACATTCCAAATTTGAAAGATATTTATGCTTAAGAAGTGAATTTATGTTGCAATGTTCGTAGAAAGTTCAGGGTGGGTTTCTCCGTACCACAGGTTTATATGGCCTTGGCCTGTGGAAGCCTCTTTTCCCTTAAAAAAGAGTGCCCCTTGATAAGGTGGTGAGGTTGTCGTTCCTTCAAGGGCTTATCACTAACATACCACCGGCCACTAAGATAGCAACATTCCGTTACGAAGCTTATTTTTTTAAAAAATTATCAAAATTACGAAAAAGTTAACATTTACACCGTCTGTAACTCTTGAACCGTACAATTTAGAGTGATTATGAAAAGGAACATTCTTATTCAAAATTCAACGTAAAACATTTTTGTATATAACAATAGTTAGGATAAACCGCTTAGTTTTTGAAATATTCACGAAAAACTGAAAAAACTAGTGATTTTTCAAATTCCCCCTCCTGTCACCCCCAAACCCGACGCTCAAAATGGTGTAACTTTTTACCATAGAATAAGGGGACTATGTAGAGCAAGTTTCTTGCAGGTTGGTCGATGCCGATTGGTCCATCTTTCAAATTTGTTGAATTCCATGAGTTCTATGAGGACTACTCCTTTTCGAGAAAGAAGGTTGAAAAGTTGAGGACTTCTCGGTGAGCTCTGTTCGAGGTGAGACGGTCCGGGTGCCCCATTGGTGAATCCAATTTTTGTTGCGGGACCTTCCAGGATTTCTACCCGGTCCAACCATCCTCATCACCAGAGAGAACGTCTTTATTCCTGGAGGAAGAAATTTTTTAGATTTTGGGACTTCCGAGCAGCAGACCACGCTGTGTGTGTGTGTGTGGTAATTTCACCTTTTTTTATAAAAAAGGTGAGTTCTTTTGTCAACTCCTAGGTTCGCCACGTGATGATTCCAGACACTCGACTAACTCCTGCAATTGTTATAGGGTTTTTTGGGTATACGTATTTAGTTTGAGTATATCTTTCCGATGCCGTTCGCCGTCGTGTTTGGCCCCCTCGAGGCCCCTTTGAGGTCATCCTCGAGCATATTGATGATCACCGCTGGATCCAAGCAGAGAAGAGAGTTCCTTAACTTTCATCCTCAAACTCCTTCGAGCAGTAACTTCCTCATCATGACTTCCCGTGACCAGAAGTCTAATCGGCTCTGATAGGAATCAAGGCCGGGAACTACTCATTAACTCATCCATTCCCCTTGGTGATGCAGCTTGGTTCGTAGAGGAAAAAAATGTGCAGACTATCATTTTCAATAGGTTTTCAAGTTCAATATTGCTAGGCTTACAGGAGGACGGCACCTGCAGATTCTGTGAGGAAGAACCAGAAACACCCCATCACATACTGATGGAGTGTGACGCTGTACATCACAAAAGATTGAACATACTGGGAACACACCAGCTGACTGTGGAAGAAATACCACAGCTAGACCCCCTCAAAATCCTCAAATTCCTGAAGGAATTGAATCTCGAGGGGCTGCTATGAACAAGAAATCCTTGATATAGCAGGAGCAGATGGGGCACAATAGATCTAATTGGGTCGCAGCGCATCTGTCACCATCCAACCTACCAATACCAATACCAAGTTCAATATTGGATAATTCATAATATTCTGCCCGTTATGAGTTGTTCGGTCAATTTTATAACATATAAGGAAATTTCACAACCCTTTCTCCCCAACTCATAGTACTATGCGGTTTCGGAAAGCGGCCCAAAAATTACTAATCACACTTTATTTCTGACTACTTCCTTCTGAATACTGTGGATGAATCGGTATATATTTTTTATATATAAGTTGTTGATTTGATACATTCATTTTGCCATTTTTCACTCTCATGATATTATCTCTAATGTACTTACGAACTTATCACCACCATGGGCAATAAATTTGTTGTTTTCAATGTATGTTTTATTCCTCTACTGATCAAGGTGAGCACTCAATTACATTATTAAATCATTACTTTCTTCTAGTTCAGCTGATATTACATTCAATTACAGGATTATTTGGTTGCAAACTATCCAAATAACTAATCACTTCAACCGTTTAAAAGTTGCTGTGGCGCCCTCCCTTTTTTTTAGTAGAAAATAAGATGCTTGGATATAACTGAAATATTTCACATGTTTCATCTTTCACCAAGTGTTGCCTATCTTTTGCACTTTCTTCACCGTACTGATGAGGGCCAAAAGCCCGAAACACGTGTCTACGGTTAACTCTTCCTGAGGGCTATGTCCAATAATCTTTTCCTAGTTTGTTGAAAACAAAATCGATAGAACTTCTGAATATTAATGCCATTATTTTTGTTTTCAGAGGAATGCCGTGCGACTGCCCCCACACCTCCCCAGGTCCCACCCTGGCTTCCGCGTGCGGCGGCGGCCCCTTTATGCTCTTCATGGGCCTCCTCGAAGTCTTCGTGAGATCGCAGTGCGACCTGGACGACCCGTGCGGGCGGTTCCAGCCGCCCAACGCCCCGCTTCACGAGTACGACTTCGTGGTAGTGGGGGGTGGAAGCGCGGGGGCGGTCGTGGCCAGTCGGCTGTCGGAGGTCCCCGAATGGCGAGTTTTGCTGCTGGAGGCCGGTAAGGATCAAGGCTATTTAACTTTATAAGGTTGCCTCATAATTTTCTGGCCTGACGTCACTGTTTCCCCAGTCGTCTTTTGTCGAGCGGCAGAATGAAAATGGCGGTGATGAACAAAACGAACAAATTAAGCATTGTGCAATTCAGTGAATTTTGATGAATTTTCGTAGTTTTTCAATATGTCTTTGTATTCACGAGATAGTTTACTGTTTTTCCAAAACATGCAGCACTGAAAACAGAAATCTAGGAAGTTGATATGTTATGTTCCTCAGTGCTCGTGTTGTACAGACATTACAAAAACTCAGTAACATTCTTATTGCAATATCACTATATCAGGACTGATTACTGTTGGCATTTGAGGATATGGAGGTTGAGCTACTGATGAAGCATATTTTAATAAAGAAAATGTTATTGGAAAGTCTGAACCTGATGATGGAATCATGGTGGATAAGGGCATGCTGACAAGGGATGTGGAGAAAAATTCTTGAAATTGATAAGACCATCATTTCTGAGTATGAAGAAACAATTAACTGAAGAGGATTTTCTACTGGATAAATTAAATGATTCTGACTCAATGGTTTTATTTCAGTATCAATTTGAAAAATATCATTTTTTGAAAATGGAATAATGAGAGGATGAAACAATAAAGAAGTCATTATCACAATTCATTGATGCAATAAAAGTGCAATATAATTGGAATATCATTAAGATATTTCTATGGAAGTTTTGGAGAAAGAAGAATTATACAAGAAAATTTTTTTCTTTCAAGTTCATTAGGGACATTTTAGGGCCGTTATTCCCAACTGAATTTATCCATAATGAGTGTCTCTCTTTCAACATCACATTTTCCATACCATCTCCTATCAAGAAATATTTGTGTAAAGACAGCAGCCGCAGTTGGCAGCCACTTCGCCATAGATGCGCGATTATATACCTCACGCCGAAAGAAAGAAGATGCACGAAGGAATGATGGCAGCCATTTCAATCCTATAAAAACGATCGTATACACGAGAATTCTTGTAATATTTCCAACCATATTATATCGAATTACAATATATATCGATCGGAGAGAAAAATTTGATTTACTGCCTGATTATGATCTCATTAACCCGCCGTCAAAATGATAAAAAAATGTTGAAAATCATTATTTTTTCGATTATTTGTTGTATAACAGAGAAAGGCTATAGTGTGCACGGAGTTCTCTTCCTCAAATCGATCAGAAGAAGGATGAGAACTATATTTCCTGATCCGAAACTCATTGGCCCCCCGTCAAAATGATGAGAAAATATTAAAAATCATAATTTTTTCGATAATTTGTTGTATAACTAAGAAGGGTATCGTGTGCACACAGTTTTCTCTCCCAAATCGATCGAGAATGGGATAGAGAATATATTTCTTGATTCGAAACTCATTTGCCCCCTGTCAAAATGATAAAAATTATTGAAAATCATTATTTTTGCGAATATTTGTTGTATAACTCAGGAAGGCTATCGTGTGCACGAAGTTTCCTTTCTCAAATCGATCAAGGATGAAATAGACTATATATTTTCTGAATCGAAACTCATTGGCCCCCCGTCAAAATGATGAGAAAATATTGAAAATCATTATTTTTTCGATTATTTGTTGTATAACTCAGAAAGGCTATCGTGTGCACAAAGTTTCCTTTCTCAAATCGATCAAGGAGGGGACAGAGAATATATTGCTTGATTCGAAACTCATTGGCCCCCCGTCAAAATGATGAAAAAATATCGAAAATCATTATTTTTAAGAATATTTGTTGAATAACTCAGGAAGGCTATCGTGTGCACAAAGTTTTCTTTCTCAGATCGATCAAGAAGGGAATCAGGAATATATTTTTTGAATCGAAACTCATTGGCCCTTCGTCAAAATGATGAAAAAATATTGAAAATCATTATTTTTTCGATTATTTGTTGTATACCCCATAAAGATTATCTTGTTTACAGAGTTTCATTTTTCGAATCGGTCAAGGATGGGATAGAGGATATATTTTTTAAATCGAAACCCATTGGCCGTCAAAATGGTGAAAAACTAATGAAAATCATTAGTTTTTCGATTATTTGTTGTATTACTCAGAAAGACTATCGTGTGCACAAAGTTTCCTTCCTCAAACCGTCAGAGAGGGGACAAAAAATATATTTTTTCAATCGAAACTCATTGGCCCCCTGTCAAAATGATGAAAAAATATTGAAAATCATTATTTTTTTGATCATTTATTGTATAACTCAGAAAGGTTATATTGTGCACAGTGTTTTCTTCCTCAAATCGGTCGAGGAGGAAATGAAGAATATATTTTTTGAATCGAAACTCATTGGTCCACCGTCAAAATGATGAGAAAATATTGAAAATCATTATTTTTTCAATTATTTGTTGTATAACTCAGAAAGCCTATCGTGTGCACGAAGTTTCCTTCCTCAAATCGATCAGCGAGGGGCTAGAGAACATATTTCTAGAATCGAAACTCATTGGCCCCCCGTCAAAATGGTGAAAATATAATAAGAATCATTACTTTTTCGATTATTTTTTGTATTATACTCATAAAGATTATCGTGTGCACAGAGTTTTTTTCCTCAAATCGATCAGGAAGAGGACAGAGAATACATTTTCTGAATCGAAACTCATTGGCCCCCCGTTAAAATGATGAAAAAATATTGAAAATCATTATTTTTTCGATTTTTTGTTGAATAACCCAGAAAGGTTATCTTGTTCACAGAGTTTTCTTTCTCAAATCGATTGAGGAGGGGATGGAGAATATATTTTTTCAATCAAAACTCATTGCCCCTCCGGCGGAATGGTGGAAGGAAAAATAATAAAAATCATTATTTTTCCGATTATTTGTTGTATTCCTCAGAAAGACTATCGTGTGCACAAAGTTTCCTTCCTCAAATCGGTCAGGGAGGGGACGAAGAATATATTTTTTGAATCGAAACTCATTGGCCCCCCGTCAAAATGATGAAAAAATATTGAAAATTATTATTTTTTCGATTATTTGTTGTATAACTCGGAAATGTTATTTTGTGCACAGAGTTTTCTTCCTCAAATCGGTCAAGGAGGACATAGAGAATATATTTTCAGAACTGGTGGAGAAATAATGATAATCATTATTGTGTCGATTATTTGTTGTATTACTCAGAAAAACTATCGTGTGCACAAGGTTTCCTTTCCCAAATCGGTCAGGGTGGGGACGAAGGATATATTTTCTGAATCGAAACTCATTATTTTTTCGATTATTTCTTGTAAAACTCAGAAAGGCTATCGTGTGCACAGAGTTTTCTACCTCAAATCGATCAAGGAAAGGATGAGAACTATATTTCCTGATTCGAAACTCATTGGCCCCCTGTCAGAATGATAAAAAATATTGAAAATCATAATTTTTTCGAGTATTTGTTGTATAACTAAGAAAGGCAATCGTGTGCACAAAGTTTTCTCTCACCAATCGAACGAGGTTAGGATGAGAACTATATTTCCTGACTCGGAACTCATTGGCCCCCTGTCAAAATGATAGATAAATAATGAAAATAATCATTGTTTCGATTATTCGGTGTATATCTCAGGAAGACTATCGTGTGCAGGAATTTTCATTTCTTATATCAATCAAGGATAGGATGAGAACTATATTTCCTGATTCGAAACTCATTTGCTCCCTATCAAAATGATAAACAAATATTGAAAATCATTATTTTTTCGATTATCTGTTGTATAACTCAGAAAGGCTATGTTGTGCACGAAGTTTTTTTTCTCAAATCGGTCAGGAAGGCGATAGAGAATATATTTTCTGAATGGAAACTCATTGGCCCCCTGTCAAAATGATGAAAAAATATTGAAAATCATTATTTTTCCGATTATTTGTTGTATAACTCAGAAAGGCTATCGTGTGCACAAAGTTTTCTAACTGAAATCGATCAGCCAATGAGTTCCGGATCAGGAAATACAGTTCTCATCCATTCCCTGATCGATTTGAGGAAGAAAACTCCGTGCACACTATAGCCTTTCTGAGTTTCACAACAAATAGTCAAAAAAATAATGATTTCCAATATTTTTTCATCATTTTGACGTGGGGTTAATGAGTTCATAATCAGGCAGTATATCACATTTTTTCTCTCCGATCGATATGTATTGTAATTCGATATAATATGGTTGGAAATATCACAAGAATTCATGTGTATACGATCGCTTTTATAGGATTGAAATGGCTGCTATCATTCCTTCGTGCATCTTCTTTCTTTGGGCGTGAGGTATATAATCGAGCATCTATGGCGAAATGGCTGCCAACTGCGGCTGCTGTCTTCACACAAATTCAAGAAATGGCATTGTTTCACAAAGTGTTCTGAACCATTTTCTCTACCTGAAAATTTGAGAAAATAATTCTAGCTGAATGTTATACACATAATTCAACAAACCTCTATGTAATGACCTCAGGAAAGACACTATTTCTATTATTTCCATGATCTTCCTTCCTGAAGAATGATTTCATATGGAGAAAATTCTAACCATGGAAAATATTGGAACTCAGATTTTTTTGCATGATTCGAAATTCAATATTATTTTCAATGAACATTTCAAAAGAGCTTTGAAAAAGAAGAAGTTCATTCCTTTTTTTCCCAAGACTCCTTGCTACATGTAAAGATAAAGTAGTGAGTATAGCCTGAAATAAAGCAAAGGTAATGTGAGTATACCGTTTTCATGATGGTATCTCAAAATTGAATGAACTCACCAGTGTTCCTGAGTACATTCGCTTCTAAACAAAAAACGAAAGAGACTGATATACCCTGTAGAATCTACTTGAATTTTATGAAAGGAGAATTATTTTTCCATTGATTTTCATCCTTACTACTTGACCCTGCATGTAGGTAGGTACGGTTCGTTAGATCGTCACTTTCCTTCTTTTAATAAGTGGATAACAGAACTATTGGAATGGTTTTGCTGTATAATAGATCTTTGATCCATCTACTCCCTTTCTTTATATTTTCACCAATTCTTTGTGTGTTATATATGCAGCTTCACATATTCCAAGTCTCCATTCCTGAAATTTCATTTATTTTGTACCTGTGTGTGATATGAGTCCCTATAAAATGTTTTCACAAAACCATAACATGCCTGCTTCACAGGAACATTCACATTTCCACAGTTCATCATCTTCCTTTGGAATTATTTGAATCTCATGTGGAGGCTGCCCAAGAGCAGATGATTGTGAACACAGGCTTTTCATTACATTTGTTTGTTCTATATCCACTATTGACTCCACACAGCTTCAAATAATACACCATATTATCAAACATCCTCTCACCCTCTTTCAAAGGTATCTTCAGTCTTCTTGTCACCACGTTTTCAACTAAAGTCTGATATTCGCGAATCTTCCGAATTCAAATACAATTTTTTTTTCTAACCATTCGACAACTACTACTGACAGAATACGAAATCTACAATCACACATCGGGAAAACAGTGACGTCACAGATCGTTCCTCCTCTCCGCGCACCCCCGCACCCTAATGCTATACTATGAGGTAACCTTATAGGAGTTGATAGACCTTGGGTGAGAAATGGATAGGTTCTTTTTCCAAACTGAATAAAGGTACGTACAGATGACAGCTTGCAACTCACAGCGGAAAGATGAATATTGAAGCGCGGACTGTTCACATTCACTGTTATAGATCTATACTAGACAAATATCAGCTTCTTCCTATAAAATGTCCTGAATGTTTGAACATTTTCTGCTTATAGGGCTGAAATGTGAGAAGCTGTCATCTGTATCAGGCATTTCAACAGGATGAGACACTGCAGTTGATTCATGAATCATAAAAAGCATACGCTAACAATCTTAACTGCCAAGCACGCTTGAATCAATGAAAACGCGAATGATGGCGATGATTACTGGCGCTTGTACATATGCGAGTGAATGCTCAGGCTGAATAACAATGAATATACATCGCGATTGAATGTTTATTTCATGAATAAATCAATAAAATCATCAAGACTTATACGCTAACAAAACAAAATACCAAACACAGATAAATGAATGATATCGCGAATGGTGGGAATAATAACTGACGCTTGTACAATTTTCAGTGACTGCTCAGACCCAGAAGGAAGTATCCGCCAACAATCATAGATATACCTATTTCATTCATCTAATTGATCGGAATTTCTTCAAATGTGTTTATGTGTTTCAATTAATAAATTTTGATAATAATAATAATAATAAATCGTCTTTATTTATGTGATTCCATAATACAAAAAAATATAAAAAGATTTGTACAAACACTTGTACAAAGAAGAAAAACATTGTTCACTGTTCACTGTCCAGCAGGAGGCGAGATTTAGCCTAAGGCTACTCTTACATCTAACCTCTCACTGTCCTATTGGGAAGGTGAGTCTACATCACTTAGAGAGAAAAAAAAAATGTGAACATAATATTCATATTGAAAAGTGTAGCAATACTCATTGTGAAGAAAGTAGCTCATGTTTAATGAACTTTCGGGAGGAGAATGGACCAAGGCTTTTAATGCGGTCTGGGATTGAATTGAACAACTTAATTGCATTATATGTGAAACTTCTTTGATAAATGGCGGTCGAATGATGAGGCATCGTTAATGCAATGGGATGTCTTATATTAACTGGATGTATGCTGGATCTCGGAATTAACTGGTAGCGACTATCATCTTGTAGCATGTAAATTTTCATTACTGTATATTTTGTTGATTCTATAATATTTGGTACTGCTGAGCACATCTGACAGGATATTTTGTCACAATAACATGGTTAACATTTTTCAATAACATAAATTGAACTCAATCTGCTTCATATTATTTAATTATTCTCAAACCTGATATGTGGATACACACCTGAGATTTCACACTGTACATAAAATAAAAATACAATTTCTATAAATACACTGATATCTCTTGCTATATCTGCTTTGTTGTGATCCAAGTAGAAGGATGATTCAGATGGTTTTTACAGGAACATATCTGAAAGAGATAAATAATATAAAGTAATATGAAATACCATTTCATAGACATTCTCATACTCACTTTTCACACTGCTATTTCCACTTGAAACTTCATCACAGTAGGACAATAATAGGTATTGGATTTTCCAGGAACGCTGATGCGGATGGTTTCACTAGGAATCGACCATGGTGAATCAATTAACTTCGTTTGGCATTATTTTCTTGATTGATGCATTTGATAAATTCAGGTTGATGTTTTGATCTTGTTGAGTTGATCTGTTATTTCGCTTTACGTCAATTAGCTGTCGGTCATGACACCATGTCAACAGTGTCAAACTTGTCATGCGCCAAACGCCGATTCGGATTGATATGTCCTTAGATCATCATCGTCGAACCAACAAGCCGAGTATGCATGAAGAAAGGTGTGACGTCATTTTGGTCATCAATTCTGATTGGTTCAGATAGACATCTGGGAAGAATCAAGTCACTGGAGGGAGTAGCGATAACGTTTTTTATTTTGGATATTCAAATTTTCCGCCAATTTGAAAAACGGAAACCGTTAAGTTGTTCTCGAAGTTTCTGGAAATTTGGAGAAGGGATTTCCTTTCTGGTCGTGAGACAAGAGCTCACTTCAGAAAATTCTTCGTGGTGGTCAAGTGCCATTTTTGTGGTGTGAACCGGCTTCTGAAGTCCTGTACCGCCTGGCGTTCTGGATCACATCAGGATATCCTGGATTTGCTGCTGATCTACAAGGACTGCTGGTCTCTACAGATTCTTCTGGTTTTGGTTTAAGAGACAGGATCTTCATGGTTCATCACCCAGGCAGCCACGTGCCTACCTTCATCCTCATTTCAATCCCTAACCCTTCATAGAAGGTGAGTCTCGCATTATTACGTTTTTTCTCTCTGCAGTCCAGAAATTCAGAACCTCATTTCATGAATTATTTAAGGGTTTTTTTCACCGGGAGTTTTTTCACCGGGAGTTTTCTACCGGAAGTTTCTTTACTGGGAGTTCTACAACGGGAGTTATCCTACCAGGAGCACTATTCTTCCCAGGAGTCATTGCTCGACCAGGATCTGTTAATTCTACAAGGCCTTTGGTGGCTATATAGTAGTCTGGAATCTGGAATCTGGATATCGTCCCCTGTTTGTTCCTGATGATGGATTTTCAAGGTGGAAATACGACAACTCTGTCAATGTCATCTGACATCCAGGGATGTGAAGTCAGCACCCCGCTCTCCGCCAACCTTCCCCGCAGCAGCTTCATCTGGTGGCACTAAAGCCATTTATCAAGGATAACTGGTGTAGGACACACCATTCAGGTTTTTGACATGAAAATATATTTTTATTTTTCATTTTTATTCACTCATATTGCCCATTGCTAGTGTGTATAATGGACCATTTTTAAATCATAGCCAGGTCATAAATTGATGAAATCACACATGAAGGGTATATACTTCCCCACCACATGGTATACTATGCGCTGGTAGAATTTTTCCATTTTCAATATTTTTTTAAATCTGCTATGAATATAAAACGTCCTTACAGGAGCTCTTGATTTTTCAAGTACAATATAAGGTTGGTTTATACATATTTTCATCCACATAATAGCAGGCAACAGTGTATTTTCTTAACAGGAAATAAGTATCTAATATTTTTTTGATTATGCATAATATTTGTCAAAACCTGTGATATGATATATGAGTCCTATCATCATAATTAAATGTTTTGGGTATTTTATATGACTGTTTTATTTGTTTATTGACATGACACTCCAACTCACAACATCTCTATAAGGTAAATTTAGGTCTTTTAGTCTGGGAGAACAACTAATATTATTCATTATCTGGTTGCTCAACTTTCCAGGTAACATTTCATTTGAATTAAAAGTTGCAGTGGCGCCCCATCTTTTTTGTTTAACCTTATGATTGCTAGATAACTGAATTTTTTTGCTATTTTAACTCATTTTGATAACTCGAACTCATAGTGCCTACTGACGAAGAGCTGCCGTTCGCAATGCACCTATTTTTCATAAAAG